TGGGCCCTCCCTAGTGGCGCAACTTGAAGTGCATTATGAAGCTATCTACAGCCACTGCAGCACAAGTTCAATCCCCAGCCAGGGAGGTGACCCACAGGGCACAGCAGACCTCTCCTGACCTGTCTGCTGCTCCCCTCAGCAGTGAATTTCATTAGATCTGCCTGTTCTGCTCCCCACCTGGCTCTGGTGAATCCTCTCGCCCCTCCCCCCGCCCCCCCAGACACATCTGACATGTACCCCAGTTCTGTATGCATAATCTTTAAAAAAAAAAAAAGGATTTTGTTCTTTTTTGTATTTTTGCCTGCTTCTGTGAATCCATGCATATTTCATTCCAAAGATATTTGTACATTGCTACATGCAAACAATGAACTCACAAGAAGAGAAACGAGGAAAGCAATAATATGCACAATCGCAGTCAAGAGAGTAAAATACCCAGGAATAAATGCAACCACGGAAGTGAAGGGCTTGTATATTAAAAACTATAAAACACGATTGAAAGAAATTGAAGGAGACACAGGAAACGGAAAGGACCACTATCACCAGAATGGCCGTTCTCTAAAACAATGCACAGCTTCCCCGTTCAGAGCACAAAGAATCGCCGTGTAGCAGTCGATTTCAGGGTATGAAGTGCCCAATGTAGTTAATTCTCAGCGGTGTCTGACAAACTTCAAGAGAAGGCACCTCACAACGCAAAATTAGCACCTAAAATGGGACACATTTAAGTGAACAGATCTCACAAATTACATCCAAATGAATTCCAAGGGGATCAAAGATGCGAATGTAAGTGAAGAGAAGAGACAGAGAGAAAGGGAAATAGAACCTGAAAAAAACTTTGAGCTTTTTAAAATACGACGCAAAAAAATGCAGACAACAGATCAGAAGAAATGGCTACAGTCATCTGTCTCATTACTGACAACGCACTCACTTACCTGCCGTGAATGGGACCCCAACACCAATAAGAAAGAGACCCACCCCCCAGTAGAAAATCTAATAAGAGTGCTACTGGGCAGATTGCACAGAGGAAAATAAAAATAGTTATTTAAGAAATGAAAAGGTAGTCTACCTCACTTGAAATAAAAGAAAAATGTTAATCCAAACCTTACTGAGATACTTTTTCAACATTCAGGTTTACAAAGATGAAAAATTTAATGGTGTCTTCCCCTGCGTCACTGACTTAAGTGTGATCAATGCCTCTGTGGAGGGAATGTGACAATAATGACATTTAAAACAGTACATATACATGCTACATATATAAGCACACCTGTATAAAATGATACGGTTTTGTTGCTCATGAGTCTTTATTTATAACTGCTTAATTGCTATTGATCTTTATTAAAATTAAAAAGGTCTACCCTGCAAAGTACATTGTTCAACAAATGAAAAGCAAGCCTAGATATATTTATGTCACTAATTTTATCTATATCACTATGTGTGTGTAGACGATAACAATCTGATTGCAAAGCAAACATTCGAAAGTATCCATATTTAGTAATACAAAAATTATTTCCATAGCAATAGAAGTACAACAGACACCTCCTCTTCCCTCCTTAAGTCATTGTGAATAAGGAATTTAATTAAAATTCATGTATTCTGTCTGTGGAACACTGAAAACTATACTTCTAAATTTTCAGTATCATGGGCGCTCCCTGGTGGCGCAGCGGGTTAAAGCACAGCACTAAGAAGCTAAAGCCACTTCCGCATGAGTTCAATCCCCGCCTGCCCCAGAGGTGACCCACATGGCGCGGCAGACCTCTCCTGACCCGCCCGCTGCTCCCCTCAGCAGTGTACTTCATCGATCTGCCTGTTCTGCTCCCCACTCTGTCTCTGGTGAATCCTCTCACTGCCCCTGCACGTCTGGTCTGTACCCCAGCTCTGTATGCATAAAAAAAAATTTTTTTTTTTGCAGTATCATAGGCCTTTTCCCAGCAGATTAGTGAAGCAAACTTCTGTGTTTTACTTGCTTCTCTCACCACAAGCGTTCCGCCACTCGCTCACATCAGTTCTGAATTGAGAACGTTAATGATTGCCCAAGTCTCAACAGAGACACACATACAGCTAGCCTCTTTCTCTGGACAGCTTCCCCGTGCCTTTGGCTAGAAGAAAACTCAAGAATCAAAGCATTTCCTTAAATAATGGAAGCCAAGATAAATCTGCTTATTCTAAGAATCAATGGAAAGAAATTTCCACAGGGATGAAGCCCGGCACAGCAGATTAGCGTTCTTGCATGCTAAGTTCTTGTCATTGCCTCAGGTTCAAGTAGCAGAGTCCATTAGCCATCAACCCCGGTATTCGCCACAGCGTAGTTAACTTGCGTTTTACCTCTTCAAATGCCCTTTCTCATTCTCCATGCTCAGTATTAAGCATTCTACCTTGGACCATAATTGTAGTTTGGTTTTCATAATTTTTTCATTTTGACACTAAGAGTCTCATTCCAGAAAAATTAACAAGCCAGACCACCCACCAACTACCAACTGGCAATATTTTGTTGTATTTTATGTTGTGTTTTTAATAAGTCGTTAGTGGCATTTATTTGAGTTAATGAAAAACTCAAGTTTCTTGTTTCTATTCAATATGTAACTTAAGTGCACAAGAGTGGAAAACTAAGAAAATTCCAGAAGATACATTTTTGGAAGAGATTGATTATTTATGCACACAGGACCAAACAATCAAACTTTTCATCTTTTCAATAAATCTTACACTTACTTTATTAAAAAAATAAGATCGGCCCTCCCTGGTGGCGCAGCGGGTTAAAGCACAACACTAAGAAGCTAAAGCCACTTCCGCATGAGTTC